CCCCCCCCCCCCCAAGACTCCAAAACACCCGAATTAAGGAATCTGCTCTTGAAATCAGGCTGAGGATCCCCCGAAGCCCTTAACCCTAAACTCTGCGAGAGGCCTGTGAGCATAGTTCTCTGCCATGCGAGAGGGAAAAAAAAACTCTGCGAGAGGGAAGCATCTCTGTATGATTTAAGGTATGTTCCTGAATTGCCGGTTTGGGGAGTCTCTGGGACCAACAGGAGGAGACTGAAGGATCCAGGGTGCAGATCTGTGGGGTTTATATTCGAGTCCCTTGTTTCCTTTTGCTCGAATATTGGGGTCTTAATGATCGGTGCATAGCCTCTATAGGGTTGTGGGGTCTATTTTGGTTTAATTATGTGTGGGGACAATATAAGGGAATTGGATCACTACTTCTGTTCCGGCCTAGACCTTTCAACAGACGCCTGTAGACACGAATCTCAGGTACTTCACCTGTTCTCCCCTCACCTCTGTGCCCTGGGGAGAGCCTGGAGGCCTTCCCACGAGACAGTGGGCAAATCTCTATAGAATGGGTTTAGGGTTTAGGGTTTAGGGGGATTCAGGGGTTTAGGGTTTATAGGGTTTAGGGGGATTCAGGGGTTTAGGCCCAGCGAGAGGGCCCTGCAAAAAAAAGGGTTTCGGAAAGCTTGGAAAGGCGGACCCAGATCCGAAGTCAACCGTAGTTCTAGCGACCTGAACACCTGCAAGCTTGATCAGCCCAGTAGGTCAGGAACCCAAAAAGAACATAAGCATAAGCATTTTATAGGGATATCCCGACCTTATTGAGCTTCATTATAAAGGGGATTTATATGGGATGTCCCTATCCTAAGTTTTGCTTATGTGCTTTTTTGGGGCCCTAGTAGGTGTATGTATCCAGGACGGAGGAGCGGTAGAAGCTCCCGTCAATCTCGTCTCGCTCGAGGTGAGTCCAGTATCTGAAGTCCCTAGCTGGCAAAAGATACAGCTGTGCATAAGAGGAGAGTTGGCATGTTTCAATTATTTGAGTCCCTTGACTGCAAAGCACGGAATCGGGAGTTAAGTTTCTCAACTCTCTGCTCAAAACCCCGAGGTGCCGTCGTTCACCTCAAGCTCCAAAGGTAGTCCTCATTTTCCCCCCCCTCAATGCTGTCCTATGCATACGAGTAAGCCCGAATCCGCAAACTAGGCAACTCGTAAATGCAGGATTTCGGGTAGGGAGAGCATGAGACGACTTTCTACAGGTTTGTATCTCCTAGGGCATGAGTGGTTTTGTGCAGTGTATCAGCTTTCTTACGACTAGTTTCGCCCGCCGACTACAGACAACAGGCCTCGCCTGCATTGTCCGAGTGTGAGAGCCAAAACCCAGAACCCTATAATGTAAGGGCTTAAATAACCACCTCTACTATTTTGGGGGTTCCTTGCTATAATTATAGTATAATAGGCCCCAAAACCCTATTCTAATTATGAAGGCCCCTATATCAGCCTCGCGACCCAGAGATTCCAATGTGCGTTTAACCCAGAATCTGCCGCAGATTCTACTCTGGTCTGGATCCCTAAAACAGGCTTTGAACTGTTAAACCCTTCTGTGAAGCCATAGAACGGGAAACAGTAAATTATGAAAATACATACACAATTAAGGTCTTTAGTATTAAATGTGCTACTGGTACAATTGATAATACTGAACATAAATGTAAAGATGTATTAGAAGCTCCGTGTCAAGCCCAGAGCTCTCGTCTGTTGGACTCCAAGCCGTCTCTTTCCCGAGCTAACGAACCTCGTCTGGCGGGTCCGAGCTGCGAGGGCCAACGCCCGAAAGCTCCAGGCCCGAAACGCATTAAGGGATACTCAGCGCCTAGACCCACCGGGGGATCGTCAGAACCTTAAATGCATTATAGCGGATATTCCCTAAACCCTAAATACTAAACCCTAAACCCTAAACCCTAAACCCAAAACCCTAAACCCTAAACCCATTAGGGGATGTTGAGACTCTCTGGGGACCATGGCCAGGCTTAGTCGAAGAGGCCATGGGAAGCGACTGTGGTCTTGACATGGCAGAGGCTCATACAGGGTGCATGAGGGGCGTAGAGCTGAGGGCTGGGTTCAGAGGTTCCTTTATGGCTTCCATTAGGGTTCTTTTGGGGCGACCTTGGGATTTAAGATTTCGGGCTTTGGAGGCTTTATGGTTTAGGGTTCGAGGTCGAGGGTACAGGGCTTATTAAGGCTTGACGGGTTTGAGAGGTAAGCTTCGGGTTTGGAGCCTTTAGAACTTGAGCAGGGCTTCCGAACTTTGTGTGAGGCTTTCGGCAGCCCTTTCGTGGAGTCCGATCCTGGGCGTTTGCGTGCCCTTGGCTCTCTCCATCTCTGTCTGTCTCTGTGTCTCGCTCCCTTTTCACTCTCTAGCTTTTCCTTCTTTCCTCTTAGGCCTGAAGCTGTAGGCTCAATCATTGGAAAGTAGGAGTTTTGTCAAGGAAGCGTGCTTAAGCAGCCAAGCCCGGTCGGTTTCTTTCGTCGGCACTTCTGGCGCCCGACAGCCCGCCTGCCATCTTGAGCGCAATACGTTGAAAAGAGTTTTTGGTAAAACCATTGTTTTTATAACCAACAGGTTTTTATAAACACCCTTCTTACTGTCTTGTGTAGGGAGTATAGGGTTTAGGGTTTAATCATGCCTGCTCCCCAGCTGATAGCAAAGAGCCTGGGTTCAAAAAAAGGGTTCTGCTGTAGGCCTGTCCAATTGAGTGGAGTTGGCCTGCGCTGCAGTTCTCGGATTGTGAAGCGAGAGGCAAGCCGTAGAGTCGGAACCCTAAACCCTAAACCCTAACCCCTAAACCCCTAAACCCCTAAACCCTAAACCCTAAACCCTAAACCCTAACAGCATGTCTTGTGGCAGTCACCAGGCTCCACTTGCAAAACAGGCTTAGTCACCGAGCTTCCAGGGAAGGCTTCAAGCTTTCCGGAGCAGCTACTGCTACCACTGCCATGCACTATGACGCGAGCCCCCGCCGAAATCATACGATGCTCAATGGAACTCTAGTACATTCTGCAATCCTTGCCGCCTTCGTCTGATCCCGAGAAGGACGGCGGGGCTGATGGCTTAAGCACCAGCGACCAGAAAGCTTGTCGCGAGCAGTACAATGCGACCTTCAAGCGACTGGGCGGCACTACGCTACTGTCTCTTCAGGATTTCCAAAAACAGCTATATTATGTATCCGACACCAGATTCGAGTTCGTCTAGCATAGAGCGCTGCTCACAGTGGAGTAGGCAGGCGTCTTCTTTAGGCCCGGATAGTTGTTTGGTGCCGCAACCTTCAAAGCGCCACCCTCAGACTGAACAGATTGCAGCGATTGCAAGTGCGCCGAAGGCTCCCACCGGCTCCGGCCAGCAATACCATGGAAAACAAATTGTGGAGAACTTGTCTTGAGCTTTTCGAGGAAAGCCCATGCCCGCCGAGCTGTATAGATAGGTTAAGAGATGTTGAGCCGGAAGGCACAAGAGACCGGACCGAGGCGTGCGACATGGTTGGGTGTCCCCCCAGCCTTTTTGCAGCAAATGGCTGTGTGTGGAAGGCCATGGGACGGTCGGGAGTGGTTAGGCGGCTCCCAAGGCTCTACGTTTCAGGTTCCTGGGTTTGATGGATGTGGTCGCATTTGTCCAGCTTGAGGCCCCCCCCGAGAACAATTACAGTCGCCAGCCGTTTGCGAAACTTGCCTCAGTCTCTGTCTCCGTGTCTGCGAGTGTGTGTGTGTGTGTGCGTGTGAGGGAAGTTGTTTTCGATCTGGTTGTGGCGCCGATACTAGGTTCGCTATCTAAACACCCATAACCAGCGTTGGGAAGTGCACATTGAGCTCCATAATTACTAGGATTTCGACTGCTGACTAAAAAGCAGATAGGTTATCGTAGTTTATGTGGTAGTCATATACAGACGCACAAGGCATGGTAAGAGGATGGTGTGTGGTGGGGCTGTTGGGATTTTTTGTGAAATGTTCAGGCAATTCACGAAGTATGCGACCCAGAAATGTTAAAGTTTATAAAAGGGCCAGGTCCTTACTACAGGGACCCCTTAGTGAGGTATGGTGCAGGATCCGAGGACCACCAGGTGGAAGAAGTCAGAGAAAGCCTAGACTTTCTATAATATGAAGGGTGCCTTTGCTTGGCAGGTGAACCGTTCAACTAAACCTCCTTTCCGCATCTATTATGAGCCCCAACAACCTACACCTGTAAAGCCCTGAACTGTAGCCATTTTTGGCTCGAGACGAGCTCTAACCAGGGTCCATACGCTCCTTTCCCAGATTCTTGGAGCAAGCGATGGCTCAGTCGAAGAGGTGCGTTGCCCTGGCGGCCGGCGCAGCAGCAGCAGCGCTCTTTGCTGCTCCAGCATTCACTGCACCAGTTGTCGGCGAGAGAGCCTCGACGTCCCTCCGTGGTCCAAGCCAGGCCTCTACCCAGGGAGCCTCCACCAAAGTCACCGGTACCACGGTCGCTGCGGCTGGAGTTCTTGCGCTGGGAGCCGTTGCGTCGCGTGGACGTCAGCAGAAGGTGGCGCGCGCAGGCGTCCTCAGCAAGGATGATCAGGGACGCTTCCGGTTCGATGCTCCAGAGGTTCCTATCGTCCCGGAGGAGCAGCCGGGCGTGACTATGCCTTTGGGATTTTTCGACCCTCTCGGCTTCTCCAAGAGCGGTCTCATGACCTTCCCTGGCGACTCCACCGGCTTCAAGCACCTCCGCACGGCAGAGATTAAGCATGGACGTTTCGCGATGATGGCGGCAACCGGATCTTTGTTCGCCCACTTCGTGAAGCTGCCTGGCTTCGAGGACGTTCCCACCGGCTTGGCCGCCCTGAACACCACCAAGGGCGCTGAGGGCTTCGCCCTGCTCTTCTTCCTCATCGCGGGTCACGAGGCAGTGACCTGGAAGCCACAGAAGGGGGAGCCCGGATCCTTTGGCGACCCGTTTGCATGGAAGCAGTTCACCCCGGAGATGCGGACCAAAGAGCTGAACAACGGGCGCATGGCGATGTTTGCAATTATCGGGCAGATTGTGGCGGAGCTCCAAACCGGGAAGGGACCCGTCGAGCAGTTCGCTGGCTGAGCCGGCAAATTCTGAGCTCGTTGACTTTTGAATTGGAGTGGGATCTGGGGTTCCTTGCAGTCTGCCCCTCTCTAGGCTTCGGCGGAAAGTCTGCTTCACTCGCAAGCCCTAGCGTACACCCTGCATCCCACTCGTTCGCGGCTGTCTTCTGAAGCTTTCGAGCCAAGGATTGACAGGAAAAGAAGCTTTGATGGCATTAATAACAAGAAGAATAAGACTAAGAGTAAGAATAAGAGTAAGAGGTAGAAGAATAACAATAATATCCATAAACTTATAACATCAATATCAACAATAAAACTAGTTTTCATTCCATGGAACACAGCCTACCACTGTGGCCGAATTGGATCGACTATAGCTCGCTGTTGGTTTTTGGTAGTTACGTAGTCGCTGTTGCTGTGAGGAAGCTGAGTTTTGAGGCGAATCAGTTCCATGTGGCAATTTGGGTCGTGATCCGTAGCCTCCAGTGGCAGTCGGTTCTTGTGTGTGTATGGATTTGGTCCAGGTTAGTATGGAACTACTGAGTTCTGAATGCTCTGTGCATCATACTTGCGTGGTGTGAGTGTGAGAGAGTCCGAACCCCGAGCCCTGGGCAGGTGCACTGTTTGCGCGGCCTTCTCTAAGGTACGCCACGTGGGCGGCAATAGTCAGGTTGACGGGTGGGTTTGTGAGTTTGTGTAGGGTTTAGGGTTTAGGGTTTAGGGTTTAGGGTGGGTTTAGACTTATGAGACATAGTGTTACAAGTTGTATATAGCTTAGCGGGGAGGTATAGCACAATGATTTAATTGTTGTTCCCAGAGTCAATCTCGAGTTGTCCTGAAATTTCATGGGGACAGTTGTTTTGGATCTCGAGTTGTTCTGAAATTTCATGGGGACAGTTTTTGCGGATCAGGGCTTTTGAGGAAACTTGTTCGCAAATGCTTCGCTTGAGTCGTCCATGGCTGTGCCGTTGAGCTGAGTGTAGTGACGCATTCCATGTTGCCTTTAGCGAGAATCGATTGTCCATCAAGTTGCATATAGCCTGATGCGAAGAATAGCAGAATGAATTAATTGTTGATACAAAATTTATTCTCGAATTGTTCTGCAATTTCATGGGGACGATCGTTTCGGATCTCGCCTATTGAGGCTCGTCGTTCGCAAAATGCTCCAGTTGAGTCTTCCATAGCTGCAGTACAGAACAGAGTTTAGTGATACGTTCCGTTTCGCCTGCGGCGGGGGTTGATCGCGCACCAAACAGCCGCTGTTTCCTGCACAAGCTTCGCTCTCTGATGTTGTCGAAGCGACACTTGAAGGTTGCACGGTGTAGTGAAATTTGACAGTCATGGGCTGTCCTGGGCAACAAACTGCGGGGTGTTTTGTCATAGAGCTTGTCGGAAAGTTCGCCTAACGCATGCTTGCCGAACAGAGTCGGACAATCAGTTTCCAGCTGCTTGTGGGTTCTTTCCTCTGATGTGCTGCTGTTCGTGGGTTGCACGGATGACCAGCACCATCCTGAAAGCTGGAAGA